TCTAGTGAAAAAAATTGCCCGCTAAATTTAGCAAAAACTTTCCCTCTAAATTTAGCGGAAAAAATTCCCCGCTAAATGTAACGAGAAATTTAGCGAAAATTTTCCACTAAATTGGAGGGGAGCAGAAGGGGAGGGGGAAGAGGGGGTTAGAATTTATCACATTGAGAATTTCTGGAAAAAAGGTACTGTTACAGATATATTAAAAAATCCTCGTCTTCAATATTGTGGCGCCTGTATTCGTATTTAGGTTTTGGTTTATTTTAAATGTTCATGAAGAACGAAACGAAAAAAGGGCTTTTTCAAGCAACTTTAAGTTGCCGCAGACATTTTTAAACTTTAAGATAGGAAAAGGTAGCGCCACAATATTACTCCGTTTTTATTATCTTTATAATAAAACCTTTTCCAAGTCAATCCCTTGAGTGGTTGCTTAGAAAACAGACTAAAACTTTGCCATTGCAATTGCATAGAGCTCGGGAGCTGCGATATCCTCTTCGAAGAAAGAGTCGGTAGCATCCTCTTCTGAGTCAGCAAGGCGCGCCTAGCTGGGTTTTTCTTGTGGGCGAAGTCGAGGGAATCGGAGGCGGGCTTCGCGGGTCCATGTTTCTTTTTCTGCCTGAACTCGTGATGCATGCGAACAGCCCGAAGAAAATCATTCAGAGTGACAAAATAGCTCAATTTTGGCTTTCGACCGTATATTAAATTGAATTTTGAATTGTAAGTCAGGTTTGCCAAACGCAAGTCCCAAAAGAGCACGCCTGATCACCGAGAAACCGCCAACCGCGTCTCGGCGTGTCTGAACGGGGTCGCTCGCGAACCGCATCCGCAATGCGGTTCGCGAGCGCATTGCGGTCAATGGAGCTCAACCGCAAAGGTGAATGCGCGATTCGTGTTCGACATTACAGAGTTTTAGGCTGCAGGTGTTTAGCTTCGATACACGATAGAGCTGTTGAATGGTATGTTTGTCCAGCAGGAAGCGTACAATATTCGCTCGCAGAAGACGTGGCAGAAACCTGTACCCGTCTTTTCTTTTTTCCTTTTTTTATGTCTCGTTGCACATGTTGGTTGGTTCTTTTTATTTAAAAAAAAAAAATGTTCTCACAGCAGCTAGAAATTAGGTAAGGGTCTACCCCTTAACCTAACTGTTGCAACAAGACAAATAAAAATGAAAGAAGAGTCCACGTAATTCCGCATGGTTGAAAAAACCCCGTAACTGCGGGTAAACGACACAACACTAAAAAGTCTCTATTCCGTACTGGCACGAAATATCGCATAATATTTCAAAGGATGGTCGATAGATGTAATGTTAGCGCTGTTCTCTCAGCCCCTTTTACACTGTCCCAAATTTGTCCTATGCAAAGGGGGTATTGACATGGGAGAGAAATCCTTCCCTTTGCTCCCGGGGATGAGTATCACGTGATAACAACGTCACGCTTTTGCGCGGAGTCGCGCTGACGTGGACATCCCAGGGATGAGGGGGAGCTTCTACTTGGGGCGGCACAAGCACGCGTGCATGCTGTTCACGTGTTTGGCAATTTCACAGATTTTACTCAGCGAGATACCGGCAGTGGCATCGGGATTGCGCATGTCGTTCGAGGTACACGAACGGGTCTTCGATATCCATCAATGCCGTCCTCAAGCCGCTCCTTATACAACTGGTTTTGGATTCCAAGTCCTTTGAGTTGCTTCCACCCATTCAAGAAGCATATTTTTTTTTTTAAGCAGGAAGCAGTTCGTCATTTTCTGCATAACAGTTCCTATGTGTTGTCCTCGACCCAACAATTTGTGAAACTCCTGATTCAAGACAGGCAGCGACGGCGTAGGGTGTGGACATTCAGAATCAAACCAACTTCTCGCGTAATAACGCGTGTGAAAATCCGAGGGCTTCCTCGTATCGCTAGAATGGGGGGGGGGGGGGGGGGGGGGGGGGGGGGGGGGGGGGGGGGGGGGGGGGGGGGGCACGGACGACGACGACGACGGAGAAAAAAGCGGAACGAGTCTGAGATCGCCATTTCCCCAGAACAAAGAACTGGAGACGTCTTTATGTACATTTCTGTTAATAGTGCCAATATGTCTCGTTTTAATTATTAGTCCTGTCTTATATACTGCTTGCGGGAGCAGTATCCTCCCCCCACGGCTCGCCTACCGTCGGTCGGCGCGCCAGCGATTTTTGGGGGACATGGCTGCAATTGTAAGTGCAGTGCATTCGCAGAATACGTATGTCTCGAAGCACAGCGGCTAAATTGCGTTTCACCGTACCCTATTGAACACGCAGTTTTGAAACAAAAATCTAGATGGCGCTTCAAACGAGGGGAGCGGACTGAAGGGGGTGAGGGGTTGTGTAAGTCCCTTCCGTGGGTCTTACACAACTGAGTGATCTAGTAGTAACGTTGGTCTCCGTACATCAAGGAGGTTAGAAGTACTAGGAGAGGGCACGTAGCAATATTGGTGAAGCCTAGTCATAAAAAGTTTAAACGATGTTGTGGCCAACGTGACCGTAGATCTCTCTGGCAATTGGTGCGGCGTGCACGTGTGAGATGGATGGTTGATTGTAGAAGGACTCCTTGCAGGCTTGCGCGCGCTCCGTCCGGTAGGTTTTATCGGATCGAAATCTAGACTGTGGTGTATTCTAGTACCCCATGGCTAGACGAAGGCTAGCTACGGTCACGAGATCTGGTCACGTTGCCCTGGTAAGTTAGGAGAGTAAGGAGGAAAATAAGAAAGAGGCGAAACGTCAAGGGAGCATGGCTTGTGGAGGCTACGCGGCTGTCGTCATGCCCTCTCCTACCTTTCTATCCTCCTTGCCGTACATGCATATTTTCGGATCAGTCGTTGTCACGTCAAAACGGTTTTCTCAAAATCACACCTTTTTTATTTTCTTAATTCAGCACGAAGGTCAGAGTCATTCTTTGGCCAAACAAAGATGATTATTAACTTAAAATAGCACGAACGACCCTGTTTTCTTGCTGTTAGCCGCGAGCAAGATGAGCGCAAGCGAATCTCATTGCCTGCCGCGCGCCTTGCTTCCTTCCCGTCAGTGACGTCACGTTTGAATGGAGACGAAAACTAAAGAGAAACTATTGTCAGTGACAGGTTAAAAGTTTAGTGGAAGTTTCACCCACCTCCCACTTTAGCAGAACGAACGATGGAGAGGAGGTCGCCTCCTCTACAGCTTTCGCTTCGCCGAAGGAGAGAGAGATGCCAGAAGCTTCCACTTCACTCCTAACCTGTCTCCGACTAGGCAGAACGGAGTTGCGGTTTCGGTAGCGAACAAATGTCACTTTTTAAATTAACTAGAGTGAAGCTGGGGGAGCGATCGAGATAGCAATTTTTGAAGAAGGTCACCAGCATCCAGAGGATGCTTTTAAGTAAGGTGGTTAACAAAATCGGGACCGGTCGACAGGTTCATGACGTCACAGCCACATGACCTTGCACGAGAATTTCAAACAACTCGCAAGACTCATGTGAAACGTGACGTCACGCGTGGAATGAAAGTGATTAAGAAACATGACATGTAATGCGAAGTAATGAGATACTGAACCGAAATTTATATTTCCCAAAACAAGGCTGGACAGATAGGCGGCACGCTGCAAACACCCCAAAACAACACTCATACAGCGATATCTTCAAAGGCCCGTTCACACACTTGCAACCGAGTACGATCAAGAGAAACAAGACCTGTTGAAACCTCTTAAAATTTCTTAGGACGAGAGAGCACACTGGCACGCTGGCGCCATCTATGCGGTGAACCTGGAACTGCATTTCAAAAGAGCGAAAGTGTTGCCAGATTTCCGAGGTCAAATGTGCGTTATACCTATGAGAAAGGCTCGTTTATAGCGTCGACAAAAGTGTTTCGAGCCAAGAAAGAAAGGACATTGCGCGAGAGAAATAGAAAATATACCGGACCGCCAAGTCACTGCTACCCAATAGATGGTGCCAGTGTGTCCTTTCGTTGTAACATATATTAGGAGGTTCCAAGGCACTAGGTTCTAAGAGGTCGCAAGTGTGTGAACAGGCCTTAACGGTTCGCCGTATTTTCGGAAAAGAAGCGCGCGATTGAACACTGCTGACGAGGCCGAAGAGACAAGTCACGTCACGATTCTCATTCCCTCTGCTCCTCGCTACGTCCGTCGAGCTGGTGAACCGAAGCGAGGAGGAGAGAAGCGAGGCCGCTTCCCCTCCTTCTCAAATTCTCCCGGAGGACAATGACCTCAAAGACCTCGCTTGATGCGCCCTTCTTTTCCAAAAAAACGACGGCCATCCGTTTGAGATATCCATGTATGAGTGATGTCTTGGAGTTCGTAGCATCCCGTTCAAACGCTTCTCCAGCCTTATGTTGCAAAAACCAAATTTCGGTTCGGCATCCCTTCCCGTGCAACAATTCAGTGCTCTGCTTAAATACTTTGGGAGTTGGTGTTCTGAAGTAAAGAACAAAAAAATTCTTTCTGAAGTAAAGAACAAAAAATCCGCTTTTGCCATCATGTCATAGTTTTTATTTTAAAGATTGACAAAGATTGAGATTTTCGGCACCCCTCAACTCCTTCCCCATCTTCAGAGTCACGTGCACTGTGACTTAAGGGGGGGGACGCACGGTGTTCCGGTGAAGCTCTCTCTCTAGAGCCATCAGTGAGCTGCGAGAACTCACCCGCTCGTGACCACGTGACCACATGCTTGCGCAGCACGATCAGTATGGCGAAAGGAGGAAACTGCCAACGTGATCGTATTCGGGTGTCGGCCATGGGGCACATCCCCGTCCGACTTTGCCCCCGTCCACCATCCGGCTTCACGTGGCTGTTCGCGGACGAGCGATTCGGAGGAGGAATAATGGCAGGTCACGTGACCCAACGTCACCGGAAGTGACGTCACAAATATAACGTCACGTGACAAAGAAATTTTGTTTTGCTTGTTTTTGTTTGTTTTGTTTTCTGTGACGTCACGGTTTTTAGCGAGGAAACTTTTTTTTATTTTTACTTTGTTGACGTATTAATTTTTTTTTTATTTTTTTTATTTTCTTGCTTTTTGCAACCGCGGGACCGCGTTTCTGCGCTTCAGATTGCGTTTTTCCGACTCCTTTGTTTGATATCGTGTCGTATCGTCGTATTTATGTAGTTATTAGGAACGGCAAGGCCTACGTTGTTGCGTCCTTTACCTGAATATCGTGACCGAATCGAGTGTCGTCGATTTGAATCGTGTCTTGCGAACCATCGTCGAACAAAAGGTGAGTGATTTGCGTTTTCCTGTGATGTGATTTCGATGTGTTCGTTCCACGTGTCCGAGCTGCTTCTTCGTTTCAAATACATTTGGCGCCGCTGCCTATTGTTTGAGCCTGTGCTCACGATGAAAACACGCATCGCAGAAACCTGAAAGCCCGCCAAAAGAGCTCTAAAAACCGCATCCCAGACCTGCCGGCAGACTTCCGAGCTAAGCCTGATTAAACAAAAACATTTGATCCGGCGGAATAATGTGTTTGATATTACATCCCATGTCAACAAGGAACTGCGCTGTCTGTCTTCGCCCCCAACAGGTTTTATTCTTCCGGGTTTTTCAAATCTTTACCAACCCGCGTCCGATCGTAATACCCCGATCACAACAAATAGTTGATCGTGCTCCGATGGCTCCAAACATCAGCCGGCAAGGAAGTTACGTTTTTCGCTTCTATATTTTGACCCAAGTAAACTCATGTTCTCAAACTATGTCATTCTGTCACCACCTCCAGTTGCACATTCTGGCGCACTTGCAGCCTCGTGCACCCTTGCGAGGTTTCCTGCTATCGTACCCTGGATATCATGGATTTCTCGCCGTACGCGAGTGCTCACGGAGGCGTGCTATACACTCTGTATCATAAGTTGTGTGCAGCAGAGGCGCAGGCCCGAGCACATGACAGTAAAAAGCGCCTTTTTTGCACGAGTACCCGCGCAAAAGGACATTCTGCAGAGCTGTGCCCTCGCACCCGTGCCTTTGCTGCACACAACTTACGAGGCAGTATAATAACCGAGCCGTTTTTGTTTCTTTTGCACATTACTGTGAAAGAAGTGTCATTGCTGTTTTCTTCTCAAAGAAAACTCAGAGACGTTAGACAAAAGCAAACAGATAGGAGACTGCACATTCATATGTTTTTCCCCCTTGTGCTACAGGTGATGGCTGGTCGTGGTTCATCAGCGTTTGTTTTGAAACTGATGGGTACCACAAGGCATGAAGGAGGTGACTTGCAGCAGCAAGGCACTGCAAGCCTTCGCAGCAACTGGCTAGCCAGTGCTGCTCTGTTCTGAACTGCACTGCGTGTCATGCGGAGGTTTTGTGCAAGCTCTCTGGGCGGCGACGCTAGCCACGGTAAGTGCATTCTATGCAGCTTCCTTTTAGGGATATATGTGGCTCGCAGGCCATGTCGTGCCAGCGAAATATGTGCCACCCGAGTGACAGCAGTGCTAGTGGCAAGGCTGCGCTGACAGTAATCAACACTGCACTGTGTTTTCATTCAATAACTAGTGACAAGGAACCAAATACTCCCGAGAGAGTCTCGGTTGTGCTTTGATAAACTCCAGCTCGCTTATGAACAGGTGGATGGCACAGATGGCTTTTCCTGGTGGACTTGGTGTCCGTGTTAACATTGCAACCAGACTTTCTTTCAGTTTGTGGCGTTTTTTCGTTGCGGGTGACCAGCATTGCAGTAGAAAAAGATGCAAAATAGTATAATGTTTGCATTCGTTACCTAAATTAATGGCAAGAACAACTGACATACATTTCCACCGACTGCATTTCTCGGAGGAATAGCCTGGACTAAAAAGCTCGCTACACTATGTCGTTCCCTCTTCGCCTGTACAACTCTGCGTCTTCCCTCGATCGTCTTATGTGGCTGCTTCTGTGTCTGCCTAGGCACTCGGTTGAAATGGGGAAAGCTGTCTGCGTTGCACGTAATCGCCATTAGAGCCAGCGTGGGCGTAGCTGGGGTAGCCCCCACTATGGCTTCTCCAGCTCGACACAAGTAACATTCCTACCGCTGTTGTGTTAGCAGAAAACAGACCTGCTTAAAACGTACAGTGCACATAGCACACAATGGAGAGGTCGCTCGCCAATCATTTTCTTGGAAGTGTGAGTTGAGCCCTTTCGAAGGCAGTTTGCTTCCGCACCGTGCACTATAATCCGCCCGAGAAGAGAAAACAAGATGAATAACCAGTAGGATTTCTTTGTTCCAAGGCTTCTTGACGCAGAAAAAGACCAGGGAGCCAGTATTGTTGCTTTTTTGCTACCCCGTGCGAGACTTAAACCCGACATGCAAGGAAGTGAAAAGGCCTCTTCCTTTCTGCTTTCTTGTGCCTTGGGTTTTAGCTGTGTTCAGAATTCACAGCTCGCCTGCATGCCTACTCTTTTGTTCACTGTGTTACTGAAGTTTTCTGTCGTTGCTGTCCCAGATTGGCTTCGTGGATGCACAGAAATACTCAAGGCGCTTGACGTCTGTGGCTCATCTGTATTGTTTTTCCCGGTACCACGGCATGAAGGAGCTGGCCTCCCTCCCTTCCATCAGCTGCGAGATACTACAAGCACTGGGCTACAGCTGCAGCTAGCCCATGGGTACCGTTCTGCGTCCTGTACTGCATCTAGTTCGAAAGGCCATGTGAAAGGCAGGTGTGGTCTTTATGGGCTCTGTCACTATGTGCATTTTCTGCAGCTTTTTCGGGGCAACTTCATATTAAGATTCAATACGGACTCGAGTGAGAGGGGGGCATTCTGAGAAAGCCAGCCTCTTTGTTAAACCATTGGGACTGGTATTATATCTACAGAGTTTATTTACACCTTTTGTTATGTACTTTTTTATTTATTTTTATTTTACTAGTTACTTATACTTCAATCTGACACGACAGCCACCAAAAATGGGGAAAGGACAAAAATGTTGACATATTGGCCTTTTTGTTTTCTGGCAGTTTGTTTGAAGAGCCAATGTTGGGGGCCGTCATTCGTGTTATTTTTCCCACACGCACGTCCAGCCTATGTTTACGTAAAGCCCCAATTGCCCCTTAGCAACAAAAATAATTTATGCGACAGACTAGGCGGCAGCATTGTGGACGAAAACAGGCCAGATTATATCTGCCATGTTTAAAAACTACATTCGGTGACAGGTTATGAATTCAGTGGCAAGAATGCACACCGCCTGCCAATCACTGCTGTCAGTTGTCGTGACGTCACGTCCTGCTAAGAAACTAGTATATATTTTTTTTTAAATGGCAGGTTTTGGTTGCTGATGCCTCGTAGCACGTCAGCACTCTAAGCAATTCTTCTGCTCTTGGCCTCTCCGGTTTTACTTTGCAAAGTCATGACGGCGTCTGCTTTTGTTTGCGGTATTTCCCGTGTGTCGACGTGAGAAGGCAGCGATTGTATCGCCAAGGAAGTAGCGATCAATCTGCGCATTTATTCCAGCGGCACAGCGTTTACAAACCGGACTTTGCCCTTCACCGAGGGGAAAGTCTACCGACTGGCCCTACAGTTGGCGAGCATTGTGCAGCCGTGAGCGCGTAACTTGTCCGAATGCTTTCGTCTGTATACAGTGACAAAATGACTCGCTGAAATGCGAAGTACCATACAGTACCATGCCGTACAGCAAACCATCGATCACTTGCTGCAGCAACTTTGCGTTTTAAGTCGTAATAATAAAGTGATTTTTAGGCTAAAATCATTTTTTCATACTGCTCAATTATTCGGAATTCTGCACGATCCCCATCGGGTCTGCAATATCGGTCGGTAGCTGTATAACCTTTAAACACAATGGTTACACACCACAGGTACCGGGGACCATGACATCAGTGAGCTGGCTTTCACCTTGTCCAAGGCAGCAGCGGAACACTACGGGCGGGACCCTGGATCACTGCACCATGGATGCCGTCCTGTACCCTGCACGGCACTGCGTGTGGCTTAAGTGGCCAAGCAGAGGGTCATTGCATGACTTTTATGAGGCGCCGCTAGCCATTGTAAGTACATTTTGGACACTCATGTCTGGTGATGTACTTTTGTGCTTTACCGCAGAGCACATTTGGTGGCGGTTCAGTCTTGCCAATTACACCATTTTGAAACGGAACACATTTAGTGGTGGCTCGGTTTAGGTTTCCTGGCTCGGTGATCTTGCAACAGTGTCTAGACTTGGCATAAACCTTTTTGTACTTCATTGTCAAGGCTAGTGTAATTTCTGCAATGCCGTTGAAGCCACTTCTGCACGCAAACAAGATAAAAGTCGAAGCCACATGCTCGTGCACAGTGTATGACTACATGTATGCATGGGCACTCGTGCCCATGCGTACCCACTCGCAACGTGGAGCATGTTTGTTTCGGCCGACACTCCACGCGTTCATTTCGGCGTCGCCACTCCACACGTCTATGCACTCGCTGCACCTTGAGAATCAAGTGTGCACCAGAATGCACTCCCGTCATGCATCACTCGGGAGAGGAACAAGAGCAGACGACTGGGGTTTTTCCGCCATAAGGAACGAGAACCGAAAAAAAGGGGATTTTCTGCTAAGAAACTGCGTCCCACGGGCAGCAAAATCGGACGCGAGCTGGGCTATTTATTCTGTGAAGCAAGCAATCGACAACCTGTGCTTCATTTTCAATTTTTCTTTCAGTTTGTTGCCACACAGACATTGAAATACATCAATGGGATAAAGTAAGGTTCAGAACCAACATCAGCTACCGTGAGATCTTTCACTATCCTTGCGGGGTTGAAAAATTGGGACTTCAGTTGACAAACCTCGCCCGCCCTCCTGTCCATCATCACCTGACCCCATTCTGCATATGTGGGTATGTGCAAGGGAGCGTGATCATGTGGCTGAAGATACAAGTGTGACCGGCCCAACGAGCACATAGTTTCCACAGCACTGTCGGCTTAGGGGTGCACGGAAGATACTGTATAAACTGGAATATAGGTCGACCCCTTAATTTACAAGGTGCAAGATGCAAAAGAATGTTTTTATGGCAAGAAAACGCAACCTTACCTTGGTGACAAAATTGTCCAAGTATATGAAAGGACGAGAAAACACGGCAGATTTATTTAATTGTTTTGCACTCAATAAAACAGGAAGTATGCGAGTGTTACTACTCAGATTCCTCAGAGCCTTCGTCCGACGACGAGTTCACTAACACAATTTAAAGGGACGATGCCGTCCCTTTGAATTGCGCCCTCGAAAGCTCGGAGGCACGAGCAACCTCAACGCCTTTTATATGGATGCTCTCCGACATCACAGGTATCGATCTGGCGCACAGATCCCGAATAAAGTTTGCCGCCTTTGTTTCCAATTCGGGGTACACTGCAGTCCTTCCACGAAATTAAGTTTTCCTCGCCTTGCTGCACGCCGCCGGTTTTTGTCTCTGGTTTTGCCAGTAGCATATGCTTTTCTCCGATACACTGAACTCTCGCTGCGCTGCAAGATTCCGGTGGATCTCTGCATAGGCGATTGCCTTGTTCTAAAAGGCTACTGTGAACTGTCTTCTACTTCCGCTCATTATTGCTGCGGTAGATGTAACAAACCAAGGAGCACAAGTAAAAGTTAATCGTGACAAGTGGACGAGTGCTAGGCCATTGCAATATAAAACAAAATGGCGTCTTCAGGCACTGAGTGTTGCGAGATTATTTTTGTTTTTCCGCTAATGACCGTCATATAAGACGAGGGTCGACTTTTTCAGGTCCAATTTCAAGAATAAATTCGACCTATATTCCGGTTTATATGCTAGTTGTGCATAGTACTGTGGAAGCCACAGGCTGGGGAGGGGGGGATTAGCAACTTTTGTCTGAATGTTGAGCGACGAGCATCAAGGGCCAATTTCCTAGGGGGAGAATGGTGACGTGCGAGTACAAAAATGAGGATCCAAGCGCCATGAGCAAGAGGGGAGTTCCTCCTTTTCCTCCTCTTGAACTGCTAGAGGTATACTTATGCCCCTGTACCTTTGGTAACACTGCACAATTTGTAAGTTGAGGAAAGCTAAGAAGGAAGTTGAAGAATCGATTCATGACCCCTTTAACATTTACCTACACTAGTTACCTTGCACCATTATATTTTGTTTGAGAAAGCTCTCATCCTCACCCCTCCCATAAGGGATAAAATCAGAAGTGTATACAACGATCGGAATCTAAAGTGCCACGGAACCTATTGCTGGACATTCTTACGGGTTAGTGATCAATTTTTGTATGAATGAGGCCTTACCAGTGCCTTTGCCTCAATAGTGTGGTAAAAGGGCAATTTTCTTGTTTGTGCGCACAAATTTGTTTTGAAACATAACTTGCTGGACTACCAATGCATGTTTCAAGATCTCTGTTGTGGTGAATGTTTTGCTGCCTGTTATATTCTTCAATAGCCAGTATCGTTTAAGTTCTAGAACTCTATACAGTAAACTCCCACTTGAGCAAACTTCTAGGGACTCAAAGAAATAGTTCCCTTAACTAGGAGTCCACTAAACTGAATATATTCACTGGATTATGGAACAGCATAGGGCACAGCATACATTGAGTCAAAAGGGTGAAATGCAATTTATGGAGTCATGTACATTGATATATACAAAGTGTATTGCAGTTACGCTGCTGCCTTTCTCATTTTGAAAATAGTCAATAATTTTCCTTTGCACCGGCGCTCTGAAAGCGCATGAAGTAACAAAGTTGCCCAGAGAGTATCTTTTTTTTTTTTTGCATATCCTCTGGCACAGCTAGTTGCTGTGAGGAAGTCATACCGCAACGGCACTGTCCACTGGCTTGAAATATTCAGTGCAGAGCCGTTCCCTGTTGGGATTGAACGCAGTTTCTCTTTCAAGCTTCGACTTTTGCTTCACTAACGTTGACAACGTCGACGGTAGCATCCGATAGTCCTTCGCAACATTCACTTGCCTTTGACCGTTGCCCAGACGCTGAAAGTATTTCAATTTGTCTGAGAGACAACCGCTTCCATTTCGTTATACTTATTACGTAAGTGGGCGCACAAACTGCCGTTGTTACCCAAAACTAAGATGGCCGAAAGGAACCAATAATAAAGAAAAGAAAATATGCACCGCATGGTTCGTTTTTGTCTACCGCACCGCTGCTGCAAAGGCGGCGGCGGCCATCAGCTACGCGAGCACTGCAGAGCACAAAACTTTGTTGAACTGATCACAACAGTAATCCTGGGTCCACCGATCACGTTCGTTGAACTGAAATATTCGCTATTCCGAAATTCGTTTTTCGTAGAGCAAACATTTTTGCATAGAATGCAAAGGAAAACCACCATAGATTTTTGAAAGTTTGTTATTCTGAAATACTTGTTAAACCGACATTTGCTCAAGTGCGAGTTTATTGCACCCGACTACTGTGCGTTGCCCTACATGTTCGGGTAAGGTACTGTTTCTGTTTACCTAATAGGCACTTTCGTTCTCTGCATATACACCATAGGTTTCAAACCACCCTGAATCGTGGATCAAGCCTTGCAAGATGGAAGTTCTCTTTAGGCCCAGCGCCTCTTGATGGGTCAAGTCTTGTACCCCATTCCCTCGTGTCTTTCATATAAGTAAATTGTTGGTATTTCTTTTATGACAGTGCACGTTACCTGCGGACCACGTTTTACAGTCGAAACGCAGTGTACCGAAACTTCTTTTATATAGACCCCTTTCTTTGCAAGCGCCACCAGGCGGTGCTTCAGTTTGTTTGATGTCTCAGCAAACTTCTGATTCATAACAAGAATGAACAAAATCCACTTTGACACTGCTGCCTAAAATGTCGATAAAACGTGTAACCACCAATTCTCCAGGTGAGCGCCAAAAGAATGAAGAAACGGCAGATATGTTAAAATGTTTCAAATATTTTGTACACCAACTTGCCTCCTCCAAGACATTAAATTGTACAGGCAAATGCCCTCATTAAATCTCCAACTTTGATGTATGTTGGAGATTATGCTTTCTAGCACTGGTGACATGAACAAGCTCAACAGGCTTGCAAAGACTGAGCGACCGGAAGTCACTTGGGACACAAGCGGCAGTTCATGTTTGTAAACAGCAAAAGGGTCTAGATAAACGGCTGTACGTTGCCGTTGCCACGGCAGCTTACGCAACCGCAATTTTTACCGAGACGCATGCGGGGAGCTATGTACTTCACATTGTTTGTGCATGGCTTGTCATCTATCTTGTGGTTTTGACACTTGTGGTTTTCTTGTTGAAAACTAGAAGTGTCAAAACTATGCGATAGAAGACAAGGTGCGCCGCACAATGTTTTTCTGTCCACTACTGTTCTGTTAACAGACGGAAAAAAAACCTGACCAACGGAGTCATATACAGCTTCACTGTAAAATTGCAGTAAAATGCGACGAAAAAACGAATAGAACGCGAAGGGGAGAAACGAGTGACAATTTGAAGCCACCTAATGACCGCTGTGTCACGTGATTTCAAGATCGCAGCACCCATGCGACGGAGGGCGAAAAGGTCTATAGAATTTTAGAAATAAATTGAAGGGATAACATAAAGCCATTTGCAGGGGGACTGCCGAGCTCGAGCCCAAGCTACTGTTGCATTGGTAGGAATTTGGCATTAGGAAGATGATGTGGCTGTAGCTGGCTTCAGTTGCTGCATTGGCATATGCATCTATTGACATTTGGTGACCATAGCATGCAGAATTTATTGTACAGGAGGAGAGACAGTTGTGACGAGATCAGGAGCATGATTGTACTTGTTTGCAGTGCTTTTCAATGTGGCTGCAGGACATGAAAAGGACTGAATGTGTATGGCCAATATTTTCCAGCACCTAATATTTTGACAAGCCTTGCATGAAAGGAGTTTCTTACAGCAGAGCTGTTAAGGGCTAGTTTCCCCAGAATCATGTCCGGTACCAAACAAATGTCAACACCTGTGGTCGACACAACACTGTTTGCCGCCGTCGCTCATAGATCGCGGCAGGCAGCCTTTCCAGCCTTGGCAACCAGAGAACTGGTTGCTGCCATCGCTGATAGATGGCGGCAACATTTCTTGGGAGGAAGAAGAGCGGGAACGGAACGAGCAGCGATGTGCGCAGCAGCGCGAATGGTTCTGCTATTACCTAAAGTTCCACTGCGTCAAGCGCTTCAGATTCCTTTACGAAAGAAGAGCAGATCGCTCGCCTGAAAAGCCACCACCGAAAACAGAAGCTACAGCTCCGCTGCTCTTCCTTCTTCACCAAAGTGGAAAGGCTAAACATTTTCTTTTTCTTTTTATCTGGAACATGGTGCTGAAGTTTCAAACTGCCTCTGATGTTGCGAGCAAAAAAAGATGCCACCAGAACATCTCGGTGCTAATAGTCGCCGACAAGGTGGGAAACGCAGGGCATCTCTTAATGCCCGGCCTCCAGCAAGCACTTGTTGCCTTTTCTCATGCTTTGTCTGCGCATGCATTGTTGAGGCTTGCAAGACGCCAAAGCATTGCCAAATGTAGGAGGCTCCTCCCTGCAATTCTTGTTGTCCTACATTTGATCCTCAAGGCACACCCCAGGTTGGTAGAAAAACATGCGATAGTCTATTCAACACCTGTACACGATTCGGGCAATATGCTAGATATAGTCCCTAACGGAATGAGAACGTATGGGCGTGTCTTGCAAATGCTCGGGCTCAAAGCATTGCCGAAGGTAGGAAATTCGTGCTAAAGTGAGGGCAACTGAAGCTTCACCCTGCCGTCCTCATCTTGCAAGTTGCTAGTTATTAATCCATTTTAAATGTGGCAATGCTACACCATACAATAACGGTTTTTACAAAAGTAATTTGTGGTTCATCTTATCAAAAGCTCGTTATAAATCAAAATGAATAATATTAACTTGCTTCCAAGAGAGAACAAATGGCACTGTGTATTCAAGCTTACAAAATCCAATTTTTACTGAGCAACTTTCTAAAAAAAATTGTGTTCAATGGTGCTCTGTTCAAAACTGGAGTAAAAAGACCCATGTCTGTGTATAACTATCTCAAACACTTTCAAACGAACATACAGAAAGGAAATGGGGCAGTGATTGTCTACCCTAGACATGTCACCCACCTCCTACACACCAACTCATGTTTAAAAACAAACCAGAGTGCCCCTAACGGACGCCGCGCGGTGGTTGGTAGGCAAGAAGCTCGCCGTCGCCCATAATCAAACCATTGAATTGCGTTGTTGTCGGCGTCGGTGTGAGACCCCGTGCTCTTTTTCCATTGGAATTGTTTATTCTACGTCCTCCTAACGATGTCGACTACTTGAGCGGCTTCAGCAAAATTAATGAGGCTCGTTGCACCGCAAAACTGCATAAATAATGCGACGTGCGGCGATTCATTTCACGTGGACGCCGCAGAATGAGCGCAAAAGCCCGACTCCCACGATGAGTCATCTTGCTATTTTCAGTCGCGACGTCGCTCGGGCTGTAAAAGCGTGGACCGTAGCTGAGATGGTGGACGTCAATATTGAAAACGGCAAGTAGAATCGGGCATTACAAGTCGGTGACGGCCGCTGGTAGCAATGATCAATATCTTGTATCTACTTACACTTGGCCCAACCAACCCTCAAAAGTGTTTTGAGGCCTGCACTTACTTCTTATCACAATTACCAGGTCAAAACTTGGTTTACGGGCAGCTGTCGTTTGAAAGAGCCGACGACAGTTCGAACGGATGCGCAATGGAGTGCAGGCAAGAAGCACCGCGTCCCGCGTCAACAAACCATTGGAATGTCGCGTCAGCTTCTGTGTGAGTTTGCATACTCTTTTTCGTGTTGGAATTGTCAATTCTACGTCCTCATAACAATGCCTTACCACTTTAATCGCCTGAGCGAAATTATCAAGGTTTGTTACGACGCTGAACTTTGCGTAAATAATTTGACGTGCAGAGATTCATTCGCATGAACGCCGTAGAATGGACGCCGAAACCATGATGAGATTCTTCTAGCTATTTTTGGTCGCAACGTTCGTGCTGCAAACGTGTAAAAGGTAGCGGCGATGATCGACGTCAATACTGAAAATAGGAAGCTGGAACACAGCGAGCGTAACAAGTCGGCGATGGCCACTGGTACCAATGATCAACATCTTTTATCTACTGTTTTCACCGAGCCAACTTAAATCTTTTGAGGCTTGCAATTACTTCTTATTACAATCACCGGGTCAAAGTTTGGTCTGCGGGCCGCTTTTGTTTGAACGAGCAGACGACAAAAAAGTGAAAGCCGTTTACAACTAACTCCCTGTAACGCCGAATTAGAGCGCAGCTCTTGAGGAGGAGGGAAGGGTACTGGGGGCGGGGGGGGGGGGGGGGTGATGATGACGATGCCGGTGACGTCGTCAGTGATGATGGCGTCATCGCATCGTCATCAGCGATGACGACGATGCGGATGCCGGTGACGTCATTGGGGGGGTCACGTGACCCTGGGGGAGGGGTCATGTGACCTTAGAATGACCTTGGGGGGCCACGTGACCTTGGGGTGACCTTGGTTACGCCGACGCCGCTCAAGCCGGGAACGGGCCCCTAAGAGCTGCGCTCTAAAAGCAGACAAGTTTGAACGATCAGGCGGCCGTGTGAATTTGAAGACTCGCTGAACCCCTGGGTGGTCCGGACAACTTGGCGGTTTTCTCTCGTTCATGTTGGAACACAACTACATCTCTCGAGCACAAAGTGTTGCCAGCATAAGCAATCGTAGTTAGACAGCGTCTGGTTAGCCCTTGTCACGAATACTATCCACGTTTTTGGACGAATGGAGGGGCAGAAACACATGAAAACTGATCTTCAAACCTTTCCAGAGTCTCTTGGTACAGTTCCGTCGCAGCATTTTGACGAGAAGGCAGGTTTTTTGTCTGGTTTCTCCCAAAAGAACACAGGAATGCATGTCTCGCACCGCGACTTCTGCCCACCACCCCAGACCAGAAGTGTGCCCGACGCGCCACCACCGTGGCGTGACGTAGGAGAGCTGAGTTCATGTATACCGGTACTACAGTAGACTTTCTCCACAACGATGGAAGAGCATGATTCCTTAGGTGATATGCATGCTTCAATAATGGGGCAAACAAATCAGTGCTGCCCTTAACAATAAAACAAGATATAAAATCTGCACCCAAGAACAGCCTCGCTTTAATTTCTTTATTGCTTTTAACATTTCGGTGTCAACTTCCTTGATTGCTGAAATGTTCCTCAATATTACTGAAAAAAAGATGTGCTTGCATTGATGAAAGTGTGAATGTTGTGAACACATTCCTCAGCAAACAGCAGATCTCCAACAATATCTGGACCTGCTTGGCAATGGTAGCAATGTGTGTACAAATGTTCTTAGATCTAGGTCAGTTCACACACTTGGAAAATGCCCGACACCCTTTTGCGGCACATCCGCTCAATGGCATCTGCTACACTATCAGCTCGTCCTATGGACAGATCCGGTAGAACGTTGGATGCACATTACCTGCGGTGGAAAGTGGTTTTATTGTGGTTCTTATAGTAAACATAAGGTCTGCACAATACTTAAAGGAGCTGTGCAACAATTTCAGGGCTTTGCTTAAATAATTGTGGAAGTTGATGCCTGACACTTCTGCAGTGAACTACAGAAAACAGATTTTGCCTGGATACCCTAGTTTTTACTTAAAAAAATGAAAAAGATCCAGGTTTTTGCCGCCTCTCAACTCGTGCATCGTCTTCCGGGTCACGTGCACAGTGACGTCACTAGAGTAGGCGCGGAGTTCCGGAAAAGTTCTCTCTTTAGAGCCATCAGCGAGCAGCGAGAACTCATCCGCTGCCGACCGCGTGACCACCCGTCCTTGCCAGTGTGGCGCTGTCCCCCTCCCCCTCCGGCTTCTGGCGGCTGTTCGCGGTTTTGTGGACCTAGGATAGATGGCGCCACTAAAACTCCGTATAATAAAAGTTTTGTCGATGATACCAGGGTGTTGACGCATTTATATATATGTTGGAACGACAAGATTTGTAAAAAGAGTTACCTTTTATCGAGCAGGTATTCGCACAACTTGCTATCTTTCTTACAACGACCCAAGTGACGTCACGCCGCTTGTTTCTCATGGCCGCCGCTCGTGGCTGCAGGTCGGGAAATATTCCAAGTTTTGCCTCGCTATTACACGGCGGAATCGCAACATTGCGATGAAAAGAGGTGTGTTTTCTGCCATTTGTGACACAGTGAACAATATCAAAAGCAGAAAATGCCAATTCCTTCAACGTTAAAATCGTTGCACAGCTCCTTTAACGCAAAAAGAGCATTCAAAAAATGTGTTTTTGCTGACTGTGGAGGCATTGACGCTGTGGCGCTAAGTGGCGCTAAGAACATTATCCACCCTTACCTGCTTGCATGCTGGCAACAGAAAACTGTTTTTGAATGTTGCTTTTCCGTGGAGCTTGTCAACTGATAGATCCAAGAACGTTGGCATGTATGGCCCAAGGGGAGGCATCTATTTTCCAAAGCACCGGTTTAGAAACCCCCATTTTATTGAATCCTTTCAAAAAGACGCCCAGTTTAGAGAAAACGGCAACGAACCTCCTTTCAGCAAATTTATTTTTAAGAAAACAATTCACCGAACTCGACTGCTTGCTCCAGCATTCGCTTGTTCTGTCTTCGCTGACGGTGAAGCTGAGCCAGTCAGCGAGTCGCTCGCTGGGGCGGCCAGCATATTCAGAGTATGATGGACACGTTTTCGTGCATGTCACTACCCTGCTGTTTTCGAAAATAGTACTTTTACGTTCTGTTTGTTTCACAACTTAAATCATGCCTCAGTGAATCATGTGCTAGCCTTTAGGTGCTTCCAGATTTGCTTATCTTAATTCAATCGAAGGGATTCACTAAACTGCGACCCTTTTTCAATAAATGCTGCTGTAAACTGAGCTTCGATAAAATGTGCCAGTCCTCGAAAACACGCTTCTATGATATGGTGTTCGGTCAACTGCCATAGACCCCTGCACGAGTGCAACTGAGCAGCAGTTGCAGGTACAGCACATTCTATTAGCATAAAATAAAGGCACACAGTCAAACAAAGCACCTCAGTGATGCCTAGGAGATCAGCGAACATAGAAATATTTTACACTGAGTACTATTCAGTTTCATATCTCTTAACATTACCGTCCCGCTTCGGCTAGTCCCTAGATTGTTGACAGCTGCCCCGGCGAGGATGCTTTCCGGACATTCGAAAATAAAACATCTCAGCACAGGTGCTATCCACCGTTTAACCACGTGTTCTTTACGAACATAACTCGGCTTCCAAACGATATTATAGAACGCCGTAAGTTAATATTTTCAAAACAGTAAACGCGTATCTTGCAATTGCGCAGCATAAAAAGAACAGTGCAGGTAGAGCGGATCCGTATCACATGAGCGAATTGCATTTTAGCGAACAGCGACATTGGTCACTTCCTACGTATCCGGATTCATGCATAACCAGACTGTCGTTAGCAAAATTGTAGGTACTGAAAACAGGGAAATGAACGAGTGTGTGATGGGTTGGTAAGGGAAAGAAACGTGGACAAAAGGCAAACAAGCAATTTAGGAGACGACGACCCACCGAGCTAATGCTCTGTACGAATCTAAACCTCAAATACTACTTTCAGTACAAATACAAGATACCCACAATATTACGCGATAAATAGCCACCAAAATTAACGTACCAATTGGGCAGTGCTGTTCGTAAATCACGTAAATCGCCGAAATCACAGAACGTTCACGAAAGACGAAACGGAACGGCCATCTTGAAAAAATAAAAACAGTGATGGTGATAGCGATGTGTATTCTGTAAAAACTCTGAGGACAAATGCACTCAATGTTTTTTTTTCCTGATTTTTCTTCAGATTTATGTATGGCAATTGCAAAAACTTTGGAAAACTTACTTCCCCTAGCAAGACCTCGTTAAAATAATGGTAATAGACGTTTTGAAATACACTTGGCAATGTCCACGTGGAGCGAGTTTTTCTTTTGCATGGGTTGTGGCGATGCAAGAATGCCAACCTCCGATTTAAGGATAGACCTCAAAGCAGCTAAACCTGTGATTAAGGATAGTGGATGGACCTTTAAGCAGCTAGCATCGTTTACCCACCATCTTTCAATCAGAGCTCCGCATTTCGACGTAACCACAAGCAGACGAATCTGCGCTCCACATGAACCTTTTCTCAGTAATTAATTGCAAAAAAAACACAGACTTCGGAACTTTTCTTGCTAAAAGCCTTTCCTTAAAAGTGTGAATGGTCAAAAGCCAATGCTACGAAAGGCTGAAATACTTCGGACATAGCATGTTAAGGTGGCAAGAAAAATTAAACAGGGATATCCATCTTCTTTCCATCAAACTTTTCGGAGCTTCATCTTTTTAATAATTACCTCCTCACATGTTTCACAGTAATCTGTGGCATGGATTTACCACACTCCTTTTGTGAAGTGTAGCAAGAGGTATACACCGTCATCAGAAAAATATACAATTTATTTATGACAGGGAGCCACGAGAGGGGAAGATGGCAAGACCCGATCCACCAAAAAGGAGAGGGCATAAGAGTGAGGTCTTGCAAGGCTTGGTCCGTGATTCAGGACGGTTTGAAA